AATTCTGTGCCTCTTATGGAGCGAAGAAAACAGATTATATTTTCCTGTTTTCTTCTCCTAAAAGAATTGGTGCGTCTTATGGAAAGGTGCGTCTTATGGAGCGAAAAATATGGGTATATATATATATAGCCATGAAGCCACATATATATATATAGCCATGAAGTTACCAGAACTGGCCACAACAGGAAGCCAGAGACCATTAGGTAGGTAGGTAGGTAGGTAGGTAGGTAGGTAGGTAGGTAGGTAGGTAGGTAGGTAGGTAGGTAGGTAGGTAGGTAGGTAGGTAGGTAGGTAGGTAGGTAGGTAGGTAGGTAGGTAGGTAGGTAGGTAGGTAGGTAGGTAGGTGGATGGATGGATAGATAGATAGATAAGATAGATAGATCCACGTTTTTCAGCATCTGCAGGATAGTGGCGGTTTGCAATTGATCCCCCACAGATATTTATTTATTTATTTTATATCCCGCCTATCTAGTCAATTAAGACCACTCTAGGTGGCTTACAGATAAAGCGGCCGTACTGTATTTTGCTTGGGCTACTTCCCTTAAATTTGCTACAATAAAGGATGGGAAGGAGCATCTCAAGGGAAAACCAAGTGGAAGCTACCATGAAGAATCTCGACTCCCTGAATGTTGACAAACCATTATTTTACTCATCATCAGCCAGGCAGGCTAGGGCTAGCTGATGGGCAGTAGCCTTCGGCAGCTGGAATGCCAAGGTTGCCCACTATGGGTGGAAATCATTATATATTAACCTCAATCCTGGTCATAGGAAGCAATGCTATGGTTAGAAATCCCTTCTCTTCTCACTGCAGCCTCCTGTACTCCTTCCTCCCCCAAAATCATCCTCTGGGACAGTCCAAGGTAGGGTGAGAGGCCAAATCCCTAAAAAGCAGGTCTTTAAGCACAAGTCCCACCTGTTGGGCGTTGCATCAATAATATTTTGCTCACTGCCATATGGTGGAAGGTGAAGCCCCTGATGAGTTTCAAATAAAACTATAACTTATTTTTCCCCCCCAAAAGCGTTATGGCTTGGATCCTATGGCTCAAGAACAGAAGCAAAACAATGCAGCAGAGGCCAAGTCGAGCACATCGAGGAGCTAGAAAAAGAAACACCAAAACCTGTTCCACTGTGGCACAAAGGACACGAAGGCCAACACAAGCCACACACACGCACACACATACACACTCGTGCCCACTCTACACTTGCGTAAAACTCTGCAGACCACAGTCAACCCTTTCAACCAGCTCTGTCCACGGAAACGCTTTCTTTAAGGCAGGAAGTGTTTTAAGTTAAGGTAAAGATACCTTTATTTAATTCTTTGTATCTGTAAAGTCATTAGTACAGATATTTTCTCCTCCTCCTCCTCCTCCTCCAACAACAATCGCAGAAAACATAAATAGTAAACCTTTTGAACGTTTCAAAAAAAAAAAGAGAGAGTTGCAAACGTTCTCTGGAAGACATTCGTTGAAAAGGCCATCTTAAACACTTGTTTTTATGCTTTTATGTTTCACATCAATACAATCAGTGGATAGCCCCAGCACAGCATCCGGAAAAGTTACCGTAAATCATTGTGGAAAACAAGCAAACGGGGCCAAGGGAGGGGAGGGGAGAAAGGCATCTCTACCGAGCGTCTCTATTTCAGCTGCAAGACGGGCGTAACTAACGGTCAATAAAATTTTTTGAAAGAACGGATAAGAAGTCTGCCGTTCCAAAACCTTGTATCAACTCTTGATTATACCCCCTCTTTGGCTACCCTTTCTGATGGCATTCACAATCCACACACCTTTGAGATATCTTGGGCAAAGCCTAAGACCGGCATAGGAATATAAAGAAATGCAAGTTCTTACTACCAGGTTTCTACTTGGGAGGATGAACGCCCAAGACAGCAACCCAAGCCTTGAGGGGTGGGGGGATTAGAGGGGGGGGGATTTAGACATGCATACAGCCCCATCTCCATAGAAAGAGAGCCTGCCAACATGATATACCCTTGAGGAAAACCACAGGCGCTGGGTGGGAGCATGTGGTTTCTGCATCAGCCGAGATTTCGGTACCAATGACCGCCAGGTCCAATCTCGCTTCTCGCTGCAGGAGTGACAGCAGAGTGATTGTTCACCCACCTCAATCCCAATAACAACATTAACAGTGATTTATTTAATTTCTTTTTTTGACAAAACCATTATTTCTCTACAGGAAGATGACAAATAAAAATTAAAAGTCTTTTTTTTTTTTTTTGTTTCATCCAATCGACAACTTAGTCTTTTCCAAGTATGGGACACTGGGAGGCAGGGGGAGGGGAAAAAACTTATCTGAAAAAAATATATATATACTTTTTGCTTTCTTTTTTTAAAAAAATCATTCAGATTGTTTTTGCGTGTGGAACACCCACTGTTCGTTATCTTGTTTCGGCGCTCCCGCTTCGCACGACTGCCAGGAGCCATCTGGAAGCAGCTTGTGTGTGCACCTGCGTGCCGATAAGTCCTCGGGCTGCAAGGCCGGGAGGCGGCACGCCTTACTGTTCTTACCCGTCCGTGTTGGGCTCACCTTTCCAATGAAATGATGAAGGAGAAACCTCCAAGCCCTGCTGCCCCCCCACAATACTGTCAGCTTCAAGTTATCGATCGGAAAAAAAAATCCATGATGAGAGGAAAAGATGGCAGGCTCGTGCCTACCTGTTTGCTGCTGAGCTTCGAGAAGTTCATACAGTACCATTTGACTCCAGCTCCCCTTTCATGCACCGTGGATTCAAATGAAAGAGAGAACTGCCGGGGGGGAGGGGGGGCGCAGAGGGCAAGGAGAGATCCATGGTTCTCAGTCTTCTTCCTGTCCATTTTCCTGTGCAATAACTGGCTTTGATACTGTCACAGAAGAGAAGGGGGGAAAAGAAAACTCACAAAAGCCCTCAATATTTCGGCATGATGGGAGGGATCTGCCCTCTGTGAGGTGTGTCCTCCCACCCTTATGATACCCAAGCACAGTGTGTGGGGTGTGTGGGGTGTTTCAGGAGGGAAGGGACAGGATTGATGCTGATTGTGTCATAGATTCATGCGCAGGTGCTCCGGCCGCTTGGAGAGCATGGGGAAGGCTTGCTTTTTGTACAGCCCCGCGTTGGGCTGACGGATCGGGAGCGGCGCCGAGGCCTCTCCGCAGACGGTCACGTCCATTTGTTCCATCCCGCTGGTCTCCATGGGGTACTCCACTGGCGCCTGAGGGTTTGTCACACCGGAGGCGCTCCCTCTTCCCCAGAAGTCCCCGGGACAGAATTTTACAGGGCTTTTGAGAAAGAGACAAGGAAGAATCCGTTTAAAAAAAACTTTTACAGGGCTGTCAAAAGAGACGAGAAGTGGCAATTAAAATAAATAAATAAATAAAAGATCACCCAGCCACGGAAGGCCCAAAATGAGCAGAAGTGTCAAGCTCAGGAGGTTTAGTTTCTGTCTTTGGCCAACATAAGTCTGCAACTGATTCAAATTATCGACAGTCAGTCATTCGAGGAACCGAGGGGGAGAACGCTGCCCCCTGCCTCCCGACCCTGACAAAGGCCTCTCTCCCAGTGCCATCTGAATGCCCAGGCTTTTCACAGTATGTAGGGAAAAGGAAATATCAAATGAACCGCAAAGCCTCCATCGTTACTATACACTCAGGGGGTGAGATTCATGTGTCCTGACCCATTTTTGTGGCTCCTGGAACCCCGCCAGAGAAAAAGACTTCCCACAGACAATTTCTTCAGCTGCTCCCCAGCTCTGAACCAAGAAGATTCGTGGGCTCGGCTTGAACTGGAGGTTCCTACACTTACAGCGTACGCCCACATATCCTGTGTACCGTGGATATAAAATTGTGGCCCTAAATCTTTTCATCAGTAACTTCGACCCCTTTGTGGGGAGAACTCCAGGTTCTCAAAGCTCACAAAATATGAAACGTCTGGCGTGCCGTGCACTGAGCGCAAAGGAGAGAGACGAGAATACCTGACTGGTGTCCGTGGACTGCCAATGAATCGGCGAGGCGATCGGATTTTTGGTTCAAAAGAAAACTTCTCTTTTACGCTTTCAAGTACGGAAGGAGCCACATACGTGAAGCCCTAAAGGATGGGGAACAGTGGGGGGGGGCCAAGCACCCGCCCCAAAGAACAAGATTGAATGCTTCAGATTTTAAAACAAGCAAACCACAAAACTGGGGAATCAAGCCTGCAACCCCATCCCAACCCTATTTAGAACTAAAACCTTGAGACCTTACTTTGAAAATCAATAATCACTCTAAAGAGGCCAAAACACGGCTAACAACACCATGAATAGTACAATTATTTTTAAAAAACTCCACTTTTACAAGTTAAGATCATTTTTAATGTTTACTTGCTTTTAATTATTCAATTGTCTTTTAATTAGCATATAGTTTAATTGGGTTTTTTTAATGTTTAACTGACTACAACTTTAATTACATTCCTTTAAATACTGTGAGCTACCTTAGGTCCCCTTATCAGGAGAAAGGCTACCTATAAATAAAACAAATCAATAATACGTGATCCACGAAAGCTCACATTAAAATCAAATTGTTTTTAAGGAACCACATCTTTTGGTCTTTTTTGGTTTGGTTTCTTTGGTTTCTGCTTAAGAAATACTACTTTCTCATGAGAGATGCTCACTGCAAGCCAAGATTCAGCCTCTTTTCTACAAGCCAGTCACAGAAGTCGCTTGCTTACTTACCAGGAAGACCTGGTTGGCACTTTCGCTGAGGGTTGAATCATCTGGACTATCGACCGGAGTCTGACGGGTAAACTTTGCATCAAACTGGCTCACGTCTTCTTCCGATTGCTTTGCAAAACACACACACACACAATAAATAAAGGGAGGGTTGCAGGTTAACAGGTTTCCAGTCAGAACAGCTTTTAGTGGGAGGTGGAGGACAAAAGCTTCCGGATGAAGGTGTTGCAGATGGAAAACACAGAAGATAGTAGGACATCTTTGGTGGGGGATGGAAGGTCTTGGTGAATGAAAGGATTGAGAAATGAAGGCAAGAAGGGAGGGGCCCACAAATCAAAGGAGGACAAGGTTTGAGAAGAAGTGGATTAAATCTGAGGACAAGAGCACTTTCCTTCTTCCCCAAGTCCCACCTCTATCTAGACTCCAGTCCTGCGAGGTGCGGTTTATAGTTTCACGCAGGAAAAATGCCTGCAAAACTCTGAATGCTTTTAAAATAGGCAGGAGAGTCCCGAACATCCTAGCCGTTGATGGATACCTGGCCCAGCCTCTCCAGAACTATGGATTATGTGTAAACACACAGACTGTTGAGGAAGAGACGACTACGCCGAGGTTTCTCAGAATGGCCCCATCTGTACCTGTGCCCTCTTTGACCGATGGAACGCGCACAGGGCTGGGGAATGTCTGCCCTGCCCGAGGTTGCTGACTCTAAATTCCCACTGCTGGCCTTAGTGAGGAGGAACGACAAACACAGTGGACGGTCAACATCTGGAGAGCGACACCCGTTTTCAAGTATGCAAACCGTTAACATTTGGGAGAACATACAGCATGGCTCTGAATCATTTTGTTATTCAGGGGGAACAAGGGATGGTGCAGAAAACATGCTCCCCCACTTGACAGGATGTACTGTGATGCAGAGACAAATCTTAAATGGTAAGCTGTGATCCAAAAACTGCAGGGATACTGATACATACCAATAAAGGTTTAAAGGGGGGTTCCACCTTCCGAGCAAGCAGTTCTTCCCAGTTAATATGTCTGAAGAAAGGGTGAGCCTATGGAACATTAATGTCGTTACCCAACTGAGGGAGGAGTACAAACTGAAGCAAATACATATTACAAACAAAAGATCAACTAGACTATGGAAAAAGAAAGAACTGTAAACAAAAAAAGTAATTATAGTAGGACCCCCCCAATCTGCGGATCCGTATCCACTGATTCACTTATCCACTGTCTGAAAATACTAAGTAAAACCCACACTGTGTATTTACCAGATCTGGCAACTAAAAGGAGACGGAGACCACGCAAAGCCTAGCATTCAATACTACCATGTTTTTTGTCAACTGTGGTAGGGTGGGGCCGCGCTTGGACTGAATCCCACACGGATCCGTCGGTCTTACTGTATGAAGAACTACATCTCTCTGTAAAAACTGCAACTTCTTAAGAGCAAGTCAAACGTATATATTTGGAAACAAGTTCCCAGGCAATCAACCCTGGAGTCTTGTAGCACTGTTACAATGCGAAGTACCAAGTTCTGCCCTATGCCCTAAGCAGGACGCTCTCCCTTTCAAGCAAGCACCACGGAGGAATGAGATCATCTGCCAAGTTTCCTTCCCCGAAATGGGATATATTACTTTTTTCAACTGCATTTTGACTACAATTCTTTCATGCACAGCAAAGATTCTCTCAGGCTATGTTGTCTAGGAGGGGGATTGTGCGAGATGCCATTTTTAAAAGGTAGTAATTTCTTCCAGTTTTGTGTCTTTTTACTCAGTCTAAGGCACTCTGGGAGAAGACTGACAATTCACATGCATCTCTACATGTGTCAAATCGAGTCTTCCTCCTCCCCCCACCCACAAAAAAGACACCAACAGGTCCCACAACCTGTGCCTTAAACCCCTGTCCAAATTCAACAGATTCCACATCACGACATAACCTTCCTGTCTTAATAAAGGGAACAAAAATGGAGGATATTTCCTACCTCTCACATTGCATGTCAATAAAAACATTAAGTGAAATAACCTGAACTTCTTCAGCATCTCCAGGACCAGCTCCCAGGCGTGAGGCAGCATTTCTCTTTAGCAGCTTGAGAAAGGGGGGGAAAATCCAGGATAAATTACGTAGGACACTGAATCGGAACATCGATGCATCTGGAAAAAGTGTTTTCCACCCTTTTTGGCAGGGATTTTGTAAGCAAATATGCCAAGTTTGGGAACCTCAACCTTGTGGCCCTCTAGCTATCACCTCATAGCTTCCCTAGTAGAACTTGGGAAGCTAACATGGGAATCTTGACAATTATTCAGCACAATTTTTAAAGCACCAACACAAGCAACCTACTCTACTGTTTCTTGTTCCTTCTGCTTTAAAAAAAAAGAAAAGAAACCAGGAAGATCGTCATGTGAAAGCTCATGAATAACAAGCTCGTTATCTGTCCCAAGATTCCTACATCCCAGTCCCGTGAGATTCTCACCTTTTTAAGCAGGTCTCTGGCTTCTTGCGTGAGGTAGGGAGGCAAGTTCAGTTTACACTTGAGAATCTTGTCAATGGTTTTTTTCCGGTTCTCCCCAGTGAATGGGGGCTGGACGGAGACAGTTCGAGGAGACGGAGAAAAGAGGAAGAGCGAAGCAGCAGGGAAAGGAGCCAATTAGGAGTTGTGCACCACAAAACACAGCCACCGCATTAAAAACACTGATCACGCTTCTCTGTCGTGTTGGTTCTCTTATGGGTTTTACTCCCTAATCCAAGAATGCAGGGCACGTAATAATGGGCTCAGGTTACAGGAAGCCAGATTTCGTTTGAATATCAGGAAAAACCTCCTAACTGTTAGAGCAGTATGACAACGGAACCCATGACCTCAGGAGGTGGTGAGCGCTCTAACGCTGTAGGCATTGAAGAGAAAATTGGCCAGCCACCTGTCAGATCTACTTTGACTTGGATTCCTGAACCGAGCAGGACGGCCTTACAGGCCCCTCCCAACTTGGTTGTTCAGTGAATCTATCTGGAAGGTATATGGCTGGCAGAAGGCTAGACTGCGTCTCCATCCAGGTCTGCCCAGATCTTGCAGACTCTGAGTTGAGCGATGCTGCCTTTCAGTTCTGCAAACGGACGGCGGCTCTGATACACCAAGTCTCACAAGTTCGGTGCCTTCAGGGCTGAGCTTAATTAGGACTATTAAGACACCCACGGGAAACACCACAGTTACTCAGATGTCACCGGTCACTGGTCAGACACTCCTAGCACCGTTACAAAGAGTCCGACGGAGGCCATCAGGTCCCCAAAGACAACGTCTCGTTTAGTGGCAAGAAATTAAAACAACAGCAACGAAATGAACCCATGCAATTTATAAGTGTGCACCTACTGCTCCAGTCAGCATGTCATACATTAACGCCCCCAAACTCCACCAGTCCACAGCACGGTTGTGCCCACTCCTCATCAAGATTTCAGGGGCCCTGAGAATGAAAAGAGAGAGAGACAGAGAGAGAGAGAGAGAGAACGCAAAAACAGTCATGCCTGTCCCAACAGATTGCCCACTAGCCTTGAGATGCTTGATGCTAACATCAGAATTGTATAAATACAGCTTAAAAAAATATCCATGCTTCCTTTTCTCACTTTAAACATGAACTTATAAAGAGGCGCTCGCTTGAGGTGAGTCAAAGAGGCCTCCGGGTGGCTAGACAAACAAGGCTTGTTATAGTAAGACCTTTCCATGGTACAGTCAATTGGATGGCAGCATTACCTCAGTAGAAGGTAATTTGCAGTGAATTTCCAGTCAGTGAAAACCAGCTACTGAGTAGGAATGTAAAATATCCTGAAATTAAGAATGTGGTGGCAGTGGGTCTGATGAACAGATAACCACACTTTTTGCGACCTACAAAATAAACTGATATAGTCACTTGCAAAATTGACTTGTCGGAGCCCGACGGAACGAGTGTGCTTCTTCCAATCACTACATCAGACTGTCAGATGTTCAAGACACGTGGTGTTCTTTGGGGCCGATGCAAAGAGTTTGGAACCATCTCCTGAGCCACAGATCACAAAGAAAGAGAGGCCCGCTGAGTGGCTAGAACTGTAACAGCACGGACAGACCTGGCAGATCCAAATTCCTAAATTCTAATTGATTAACTGGGTTCCAGCGACCAGAATTCAACAACAAAGCAGCCATGTGGCATGGAAGGGCTAACCTGCATCCCCGGAGGTGGATTTTCAAGAGTAGGTTAAACTGTTGATCAATTCGCAAGGGCTCAGCTACCTGACACTTTTTTTTATCCACGCCCCATCCAATGACAAGGTGGTACGTAGCTGGCAACCTTTTCCAAACATGGATTACAATCCCCATCATCTCCAACCATAAAAGCTGGGGGACAGAAGGGGCTGTGGTTCAAGCCCACTCAGAGGTTGCCTGGTTGAGCAAAGCTGCCCCCTATTCCTAGTACAGTGGTGCCCCGCATAGCGAGGTTAATTCGTTCCGGATTAACCCTCGCTATGCGAAATCGTCACTAAACGGGTAGGGGAAATGTATTGAAACACATTAAACTTCGTTTAATGCGTTCCAATACCTTTGTTACTTACCCGTTCAGCGAGGATTCCAGTTGCCGGCAGCCATTTTCGTGCCTTCGCTAAGCGAGGGCAGGGCGCGAAAACGGCTGCCAGCAGCCATTTCCGGGCTTCCGGCGGCCATTTTGGAACCGCCAATAGGTATCCACGCCCCATCCAATGACAAGGTGGTACGTAGCTGGCAACCTTTTCCAAACATGGATTACAATCCCCATCATCTCCAACCATAAAAGCTGGGGGACAGAAGGGGCTGTGGTTCAAGCCCACTCAGAGGTTGGCTGGCTGAGCAAAGCTGCCCCCTATTCCTAATAATCTATTCAGTGTCAAAAACAGCATAAAAGAGCAAATACTAATAGAATTTGCTCTGAACCCCAGGTACAGGACAGGCTAGGACAACAACAACAACAAGAACACCAAAGAAAAAGCAAAACCCACAACCCAAATACGGAGCCCCATTTTAAAAAGGTAAAGTTTAGCCATTACCCCCAGACCAGAGTAATACTTTGCGGTTTCACCGTGTGGGCTCACATGTATTCGATTGTTCCACAGAATGTATGCGTGACCGTTCCATCGTGGATAGATTCTTTACACAGTCCAAAATCGGTCAGCTTAACATGACCTATAAAAGGAAACAAAAGGCGAAGCCCGGGAAGAGCACACCGAATTGTCACTAAAACACTTCAAAGCCCCAGAGCCGACATAGTTATTTCAGTGCTTCATTCATAACCCTTTTTTTTTGTGCTCCACACCGAGAATTTAAAGTAGATAACGGCTTTTTAAGAAAAAAGAATATGCACTATATACGCGCCATGAGCAAGGAAACCCACTTCACACATCACACCTCTACAGATCACAATCCTCAAATGTTCAGCACAATTTAAATCCCTTTGCTTGCATTCTAAAGGGACACAAGTAATATATATACGTTGAGGGAAGGTATTCCACAACAAAGGGGCTGCAGCAGGGAAGGTCCTGCTCAGAACAGATTATATCAGTTTCTATTCAGGACCACTGGATGACTGTAAGAGCACAAGGATTTTTTTAAACTACGAGGTATGTCAGGAAAACAGTTCTCTGCTGCATTTCTAACCTTGATGGTTGAGCATGATGTTTTCGGGCTTTAGATCTCGATAAATGATCCCCTTCTGGTGCAGATGCCCCAAAGCCATAGAAATTTCAGCCAAGTAGAAGCTGCAAGGCAAAGATGTCTTAGGAGAGAAAGAAATGCAGAAAGCTTCATGTTGTAGTTGCACAGAGTGCATCTCACAGACAACAAACCAAACCATCGTTTATTGTCCAGCCATTTCAAACCCAAACCATGGCTTATATTTTCGAACCTACCAGGCTAGCCAAGTTTATTTTCCATCTTTACATTGCTCCCAGATACAGGAGGGGGAGTAATGTAACTATGGTTTGTCAGTTCAGATATCACTCCAAACCATGTTTAGCACAAACCATGGTTTGCCAATTTATTTCAAACTTCATTTATCATTGTCATCCACTAGGCAAACAGAAATCACAGCCTGTCAACTAAGCGATCACATTAAATCATGCTTAGGCCTTACTCTGCCCCACCATGATATCTGAACTGGACTATAACTCAGCACCTCCTGCTTCCCACAAAAAATATTACAATGGACCTGCTGGATATGAGATTCTGCAAGACTGAAATCCAAAAGGCCTATTTTTCCAAACTCGGGCCTCATTTCTGTGACTGCTCACTGTGATTAAACTCTGCCTGCTGGAACCCAAGTCGTAATAAAGAACATTATCTACAGCAACACACCAAGAACGTAAGGTTGTTCTCATCTGCTGCAAGCCTCTCTGTTATCATCTCTGATCAATGACTGGAGATAAGAATTTGGAGGCAACAGCTAGGAACCTATTGCATGGGGCCAAGTTCCAGTTTGCAGCCTGGGAAGCTCTACCATTGCAAGTAAACTCTTGAGTAAACTGGCATGAAATTGCATTATGCTTTGTATGCCTGGTGGAGAAGTGTCTCAACAATTACAGCTGGCCCCCATCTCTTTTTCCCCTGCAACCTGTCAGGTGTTGGAATGGGGCCCTATCAGCTGTCCCATACTGGAGATCAGTCCAAGAGTTCTCCAGCCCTGCTTTCAACAACTAGAGTAGCCGCTCTAACCTTTAAGGTGTAGGGTCTGACCATCACTTGTCCCAGGGAGAAAATATTCAGGTAAAAGAGCTGCCTCAGCAATGAAGATAAGCGCCATTCTTAGTCTAGTCTCATGAATTTGAAAGAAGACCTTGCTTCACTTACCACGCTGTGTCTTCCATAAATATCCCCTCTCTCTCCAACTGCATGAACAGTTCTCCTCCTACAAGGAGACAAAGGAAAAAAAAGGCAAGTGAGAAATAAGCTCATCTTTCTACTACACAATCAATAAACTAATAATTAATAACAAATTAATAATGAAAAGGGGGAAAGGGTGTGACAAACAGCAGAATGAATTGTTCCAGCAAACAAAGATTCGGTGAGGAATCTTAGAAGACTCTCAAGCCGGTATATTCACACTGAACACCTCTTTGGGAGCCTGGTTTGTCACAAATACAGCTCCTGAACGTGGGTGTTGCCAAACTGCAAAGAAAGCAAAGGCTTCTGGGAATCAGTCCTAGAACACCAAGGTTGCCCAAGGTTGGAGTCAGAAGCCCATGTGCTTCATCTAAAGCAGTGGTCAAAGGGCTTACACGGCCATCAGCCTTTCTGTTTTCAAAAACTGACTCTTAGTTGCAGTCGACCTCACTAGGTGTAACTAGGCACTAGACAATTATTCACTGCCTCTCTCCAAGCTCAAACTGTAGACCTACACCACCCCAGCTAACATACTTCCTGGGCCATTCTGTTCCTTTCCACTGACCCCTAATTTTTCTGTACTGCCTTACCTGATGAAGAGTCCTAGACAACTCAAAAGCTTGCAGTTTCTGTGGCATCTGGGTCAGTCTCAGAAAAAGATATTGCCCTACTGTGGATTCTGCTCCCACTCATGGACCACTATAACTACCATGTTTCCACAAAAATAAGAGAGGGTCTTATATTCATTTTTGCTCCAAAAATGCATTAGGGCTTATTTTCAGGGGATGTTTTATTTTATTTTTTCATGTACAACAATCTTCATTTATTCAAACACAGTCATGTCACTTTCTTCTGGTTGCTGAACAATGCGGCACAAGGGTGAAGGGCAGGGTTTCACTTAACTGGGGCTTATTTTTGGGGCAGGGCTTATATTACGAGCATCCTGAAAAATCACGCTAGGGCTTATTTTCAGGTTAGGTCCTATTTTCGGGGAAACCAGGGTACTTTTCATTCCCACCTGCCGTGGAGCTGCAATCACTTGCCGTGTTTTCATTCATTGTGTTGCCAATTAATTTTAGGAAATGGTATCTTTTCAGATGATTTTTTTTAATCTGCAGAAACGCCCATAACATTGCCGGACAACTACAATGCACTCGGATCCTCATTTCGATTCACTCGATCCTTACCACTAAGATACTCAAGGATGAGGTAGAGTTTTCCACCCGTCTGAAAGGCATAAATCAAGTCCACAATGAAGGGATGCTTGACCTCCTCCAGGATGTTCCGCTCTGCTTTCGTGTGAGCTGTATCTTTCGCATTTCTAACTATCATCGCCTGCAAACCAGACACATCAGTCAGGAAGGGTGGACCCCCAAAACCTTTACCACCACCCTATCACAGAGATTTGACCAGCAACATTTCAGTTATCAGCAAACATCAACAGACACAACTGATTAATTTGTTTGTAATGAGTAGAATTAGGCAAAACGCGGTCCCAGTCGCTATCTTTGTGGCCTAGCTAAACCGAGGAACCTGCCTTTAAATAGAAATACAGTGGTGCCTCGCAAGACGATGTTAATTTGTTCTGCGAAAATCGCTGTTTTGCGAAAACATCGTCTTGCAAAATGTGGTTCCCCACTGGAATGCACTGAAATCCATTTAATGCGTTCCAATGGGGAAAAATCGTCGTCGTTTTGCGAAAATCTCCCATAGGAAAACCATTTTGCAAAGAGCGGATCAACTGTCAAAATCGCTGTCTTGCGAAAACCGGCCCCGGAAAAAAAAAAACCTGTCTTGCGAAGCTCGGTCCGAAACATCGTCCAAAGCTGTCAAAATCACTGTCTTGCGAAAACCGGCCCCGAAAAAAACCCATCTTGCGAAGCACGGTCCGAAACATCGTCCAGCGAAAATCACCCATAGGAAACGTTTTGCGAAGCGCTATAGTGATCGCAAAAACTCATCGTCTAGCGAGTAAACCATTTTACGAGGTAATCGTGTAACAGGGCACCACTGTACACAAATTAAGAGACACTTAAACATCTCAGAGGGCAAAATTACAGGTAATCGTCTAACGGGGCACCACTGTACACAAATTAAGAGACATTTAAACATCTCAGAGGGCAAAATTAGTTTCCTATGAAGCACAAAGGTGTAATTTGGGACCTTCTGCATGCAAAAGCCAGGTTAAAAACCCATCTAAAGACAGTCTCTTCCCTGGTACAGAGGAATACCATGGGTCAACTCACCTTTTTCAGCACCTTCATGGCAAAAATTTTACCGGTATTTGCTCCTGTCACTTTTCGAACTTGGAATACCTGCACACACAAAAAATGTGTGTTTGTTTAAAAGAAAATTAAATTCACTTTTAAAAACGGCTCATCAATCACTGAAATATTTGCCATTTTGATTTCTTTCCTCAATAGCGAGTAACAAAAATAAGTCCACAGATTTCATGTTACCGAGGAAGGGAGGGAGAGGCAGGGAGTGTACTGTTGCAAGATGATGGGCCACAAATAAGCCCCGTCTAATTTGGGGCTGCTTACAACGACTGGCAGGAGAATTTCAGACACACAACTTTTCTGACCCGAGATAAAACGGAACACAGGACACCTTTTGTTGTCAAGCTCTGCCCACAGGCCACAAGGAAAGGGGAAATAAGGAATGTGCCCATTCAGAAATCACCCAAGAACGCAGCAACAAGGAGCCAAAGAGTCTTACCTTCCCATAGCCACCTTTTCCAAGAACACGGAGAAGTTCAAAGCATTCAGGGCGTATCTTCTCAGGACCTCGATTCACACTTGTTTCTGAAATCTCAAATTTTTCACAATGCTCCATGCCACTAGGGAAAAAAAATTACAAATAACATTAAGGTTAGACTTTATGACAATATCTTTTTTTAAAAAAAAAATTTAACCACCCTCTCTGTAGGATACCCACGAAACGGGGACAGTAGAGACGGTAGGAACGAAACAGCAGCCCAGCCTGGAGGGGCCGTCCACGCAATCAGTGGCAGTACGGCTAAGCCTAGTTCCCTAAATGCCACCAGCTGGACTCCACCAACCCAATCTGAGAAGAAGGGAGCAGCAATTCTACCCATTTCCCCCAAACTCCACCCCTCCCACAAACCAATTCTCATTTTAGGAACTTACAGCTCATAGGGACTGACTCCACCATGGTCCATGCTTTCGCTTAAGTGACCCTAAAAAACAAACACAAACAAAAATTAAGAAGTGACTACTTTTCCAGGTGCAGGTCCAATTTAGCGAGTGCTACATGCTTCTGCATCAGTATTAACCTGAGTTTATAAGACCGACAGCTTTAAAAGGAAACATACAGCTCTTACATAAGCCCCAATCACTGCTAAGATACAGCAATTCCTATGCTGAGCTTTTGTGGAACATCCATAGCATTGGTCGGGAGAGTTGCCAAACCCTTGGAATGGCAGCACAGGGACTCAGCGCTCTTTCGCCAACTCAGTTTCATGTCTGCAGCCCGAAATCTAGCCCTGAAAGCAAATATTTCCTAAACCTTACAGAGAAGCAATGTTGGCCACTTCATTTCATTACGTAATAAAACATGAGTTTTATTAGGCATTATTTCCATGCCAAGCTCCCTTGCAGAATGAGCGTCAAGAGTTTTGCTTTGGTGGGACTAAATGGGTGGCACCCAATACTGGGCAAACAGAAGTTCACCCAGGCAATGAGGCTGTTGCTTCTTCAGTTCAGCCCCATGAAAAGCCTCTCCAGTTCAGTGGACCCTCAGAGAAGTGATGATCCAGGCACCTCTGGGGCAACAGGGAAAACCGACAAATAGGTGATGGGAAGGCAGTATAAGCAATTATTTTCAATTTTTTAAAAACTATGTAACTGCAATTAACACCAACCAAGAGTTTAATGCTCACCACACTCACAATTAGCCTCAATAATGGACATAATGGTACATGATGGTTAATACTGAAAAGGCAGGCAAAGACAAAATGAACATATGAGGGGGGAACCAGTTATTTTATATTGCTTATGTATTAGGCCACAGAGTTAAGACTTCAAGCAAAATTAAGAGAGAACGTCAGTCTTAAATACAGTGGTGCCCTGTTTAACGATTACCCTGCTCCACGCCGAATCCGCTTAACGATTAGGTTTTTGCGATCGCTTTTGCGACCACAAAACAATGTTTAGATATGATCGGTTCCCTGCTTCAGGAACCGATTTTTCGCTTTACAACGATCAAAACAGCTGATCATCAGGCTTTCAAAATGGCTACCCATGGTTTTTAATGCATTCTAATGGGCTTTTTACTTTCGCTTGATGACAATTTCGTTCTACAGAGATTTTGCTGGAATGGATTATCGTCGTCAAGCGAGGCACCACTGTACAGAAAACAGTATGAATGAAATCCTACTGCACAGGGATGCAGGAGTCATTTTTCACTTGCCTAGCTTCCAGACTGTGGAACACATTCCCCTCAGAGCTGCGACCAGTTTTTGCTTTCATCATTTCTGGGGCTCCAGTTATTTATTTACTTAAAATATTTTTAACCAGACATTCTTAGGAAGAACCCACAGCAGGTTGACAAGATTAAAGGACAAAAAATACCAATAACAACTACAGCAGCAGCAGCAGCTTCTACCTGTTCAATTCCCTAACTGTCAACGAGGAAGGGAACTCTATAGAAATGTATCACTTCTGCAAGTTAATTCTTCTCTAAATATTGGTACAGAAGAGTCTTCCCTTGCAGTCTGAAAGCCAAGCAGGCACTGTTTTGTGGCAAATGGGGCCAATGAGATACTTCCCTCAGGTCCCACTGCTTTTGCTGGGAACACTCATATCTCTCATCCACCTTAAAAACCTGAAGACCTAGAAGACTCTGGAACAGGTTTTTTGACACCACAGAGGGCTGGAGTCGGAGGGGAACAAAGTCCCAAATTCCAGTGGCCTTGGACACCAAAGGGACACCTGCTGGATCTTGGCCTAGACTTACATGAGATTAGGAGACTGCACTGGTGAAAAACTGGGAAACCGTCCAGTGTTCTTTGTTTTCCATTTTGTGGGCTATGGAAAGGGGCCACTCAGCGATCACAACTCATATTTACTCTCTTTCTCATACACACAGAAAGGTCAAACTCAGGACTTTTTCCATTATGGGTGGAAAAGCTAGACATGCCTCTTCACCATGTCAATCGATAATACAAGGGGGATTTTCCCCTCCTTGCTCTTCTACCACAAGCAAAAGCACTAGATTGACCCAGACACCTTGACAAGGGCAGAGATCAGAGTTTGTACCCTCAACGTCTACAGACCTCCTAGAAGAGGGACTAATTGTGTATGTACCACAAACAAAAACTAACCAGGTACCCACCACTGGTAGGACAGTTGCCTGGCCCATAACACTGCAGATTTGGGTCTGGTAATCTGTCAAAATCCAAACAAAAAAGGACAAAAATATGTTGCATGTACATTACATAGGTAATCTGTGACACTCCAGAGGCTGGATGACGTCTCCCATCATGGCTAGCCAGCACAACCAGCAGTGGTGGCTAAGGGAACTCACGTGCCATCTACATCTGGAAACTCACACATTCCCCACCTCTGACCTAAGAGCTGAAAGCCTGTTTAATCTGAACTGGGCAAGGGATGTGCTGAGCAAGACCAAAAAGCTCCATTACAAAGAACAGACAAAACAGATCATTCTACACTTGCTTCCACACACATATAATACAAGCATAGAACAAACGGTTACACAACAATGGTAGGATCAGGAGAAACTACACCAAGCATAAGGCTTTCTGATCTGCTAAATTAGGGGCTGTAATGCACGACTTAAGAAGAACTTGAATCTACAGCAGCACAATCATGTGATGACGGCGGGTCTGTTACCTCTGTAGGTAAAGAACCAGTTTCACCTCCTAAACAAGCAACCACAGAAGCTGCCTTTCTAAAATGAGGTCTCTACACAAGACATGTTATATAACTGGTTATCTTTTCTGAGAACGTTTCCTTTCCACTGGTGGTGGAGGCACCACTACAGCATACTATGAATACTTCTGGAATAACCACACAGCTCCCACTAACCCCTGGGTTAAAGGAAGTCTTGCCATTCTAACACCGGCAGGACCCAGTCTGAAACCATCTTGGGAACCTGTACTATCTGTCAGGTTGCAAAAAAGAAACAGAGGACCCTAACCATGGAAGTCACACTTCGCTACATGGAAGACCCAGAGACTGGGCCAACTAACAAGGGTTTGACACTGCCATTAGCCCAACAAAAACCATCTTAAGCATGCTATGGAGACACAATAACATCCTGGGGCCCCCTACTCAGCTGCACCACTACAAATCAACCCATCTTATGGTGCTGTTATGTGAATTTGTATTGCTGCATTCTTCTTTTGCAGTTGCACCACAGTGAGAGCTACACCCATTTCCCAATATCCCTGAGAGCCCTTTCCCTGAGTTTCCCATTCCACAATCCTTACATTTTTATCATCATAGCCAGCCTTATTACACAGAATCAGTCAGAATACAGCCACTATGGAAACGCCAATATGGAGAGTTTAGTTGTTACAGCATTTTCAGAAGCCTCAAATACACTAGCAGCTAGCAAAGACCCCAGAAAAGTAAAGTACACAATCTGCCTGCCTATTCTCTGTCAACCAGAACACCCGAGCAGCAGCATTTCTGATTTGTTTACAGGTACTTCATTTTTGCCAAGGACTATCTGTTCTGAGGCCCAGAGGTGCTGGTCCTTAAACAGGAGCCATAAACACTTTCTGCGAACATAGATGGCATTAAAATAAACACACATATCCTCGTGTCTCTCTTAAAATGAATTGTGTATAAGCATGTGAGGAACCCTTTGTATAGCAAAACAGTAATGCTACATGTAAATTAAAAGGGTTTTTTTTCTCCTTCAAATGTTAGCATCCAAATACTAGGTTCTCTAGTCCGGGTTCTCAAGCCCAGTTCTGAAACAAGGGAGCACAACCTGCAAGTTTTCTCAAACCCTTGGCCACTGCAGCCAAGCCTCCTGAAGCTCTATCCCCCACCATTGCGGCAGTCCTTCCAAAAGAGAGGAGACACTCTATCCACGCTCCAAAGAAGACTCCTGGCTCTTCAACCAAATCAATTCCTAACAGACTCTACCCCTGCCCTGTGCCTGCTCTGCTCCTAAGGACACTGCTTGCATGCAGAATATCACAAGACTCTGTCTTTTCTGTAACAGATATACAAACCAGTTTTACTCACACTTACAAGCCTGGCAATATTCCATGGAACTACGGCAGCCAAAAGCAGCTGCTTCTTCTGAAACAAAATCTAACATGGAGCAGTTTGTTTTCATAAGCACCCTTTCCCATGGGCAGCATACAAGCACACAACATGTGGACATTCGCACTACTGATGTGGCATTCATGATGGCTAACTGGGCACTATCAAGTCTGCCACTAGTTCACTTATTAAAGCAATTTCTGACCATCAGTAACAGATACCAAAGAAAGAAGCAGCTATTTTGCTACAAAACTAGAGAAGTCTGTGGCAACTTCCAAGCTAAAGATTTACTCCTGTATCACCTTCAGTGACTAAAATCTATTTTATCTGATCCAGTGTTGTCAAGCAGAGAATAAAATATCACATCACTATCTTCCAAAGTGAGCGCTAAACCCACCCAAATTGATATGGCACTCAATCTTTAAAATATCATGTCTTCAACCTAACCAACCCATCTTTGTTACTTTTTTCCTGGAAAGTAACAAAACATAATGCATTGTGACTAACATAACATTACTGTTATTACTGCACTTATTTGAAGTCACTCATGACTAGGAATAAGCATACCCAACATTACTAGTTATTATGATCATGTAAAATATCCAAATTAAAAGGCTGCCATCACCTTTTGGAGGTACTTCTGTGGCCACTATGACAAGCAGAATACAGTAACGAGAACAAGTGGAAACTTGGTGCAGCAAGACTATTCTTATAATCAATTGTTGCTATTAATGGCTGCATTAATACAGTGCAATAAGTCCAATGCAAGGCTCTAGTAATTAAGGGCAATAAGTACAAAGTAGGAAGTAACAACAACAATAAGCAACAATGCTGAAACAATGGTGAAATTTTCTGGTACTGGTAATATGGCAATAAACCAATAATAACGAGAATCATTTAAATCCAAGAGCCAATTCCAACTAGAACCAATTCCTGAATGATGAGTCACCACTGTCACAAATATCACATTTATTCAATGGACCTACTCCTGCCGGAGCCAGCAAGAGGATTCAGGTTGATAATACCTGCAGCAAATGCAACAACCAGAAATTCAGTGAGGAAGTCACTCAGGAAATGTTCATACATAAATCACAACAGTGCAATAAAATATTGTTTTATATACCCAAGGGCTGTGTCACAAGTGGTTTTTGTGGGGTCACGGGGCAGTTTATACGTATTCTAGGCTTTTAAAATAATTTCTTCCTTGGCTTTTCACAGCAGAATACAGCATTAACAGTAGCGTGTGTGTATGAGAAACAGGTCCTTTGGGAGGTGGGGAGAGAAAGAAGCCTATACTTTCTGAAAAGGAATGACTTTACACCATTAAAAATGCATTTTAATACAAAATGGCAGGAGGGGGGGTGTCGCAGTTTACTTGGCTATTATAAAAGGGAGTCATGACTTGAAACAGCTTGGGAACCACTGCAATAAAGCAAACAGAAGGCAGTATTTATTATGGGGGGGGGAATCACATAAATTGCATTCCTATTTATTTACTCACCAAGGGCACATCATAACAGAGAAAAAGAAACATATACAGTTAGTACTAAAAGCGGCCACCATGAAAGAACATAAGAAAGTAAGGGGGCACAGACCCGTTAAAAGGAACTATAAAAGAACATATGAGAGAGAAGGACACCAGGGGAGCCATGAGGTGGGTAACTGAGGGGCTAGTTCAAAGGGGGGGGGAGAGGAAGCGCCAAGAGAGAGTTTCTGCCTCCAGGGCGAAGGTTTCCTCTTGGCCCGGCCTGGCCCGACCTTCCTTCCTTCCCCTCAGGCTTGGGTCCCTCAGGCGCCTTCGTCCCCGCCGGCCCTTCCCTCCCCTCCCCTCCGCGCCTCACCCCTTCCTCCAGCTCCTCGTCCGAGGCCGCCTCTTCGGGCTGGTCCAGGTCGATATCGAAGACGCCCGCCATGGCCTGGGAGACGCCGTGAGGCGACTTCTTCTTCTTCTCCTTCTTCGCCGCCGCCGCCTTCGCAGCCGCTGCTGCTCCGTCAGGAAGAGAAGGCCCGGCCGCGCCGCCTCCACCGGCGGTTCTACAGCCGTCCTGCTGGGCCGCCTGGTGCCGAGAGCGAGCGGGGG